ATAATGCACAATGCTTCAGTTCAAAAAACCAAGTAACTTTGCTTTCACTCATGAGCACACTTATGCTTTCGTGGGATGAGGTAAAGCAGGACTGTTCCTGTGTGCTGATTGTTATTTGGCTTCATCATCATGACTTTAAACCCATGTCGTGTCACTGGTAATGGAATTTTTCAAAAGATTTTTGTTATTTATTTGGAGATTATCAAAGATGGAAAATTGTTGCAGTTTAAAATCATCAGTCAAGAGTCTTGGCACAAATTGTGTTCAGACTATGCATTCCTAAATCTCCTATTAAAATTGTGTTGCAAGAACCAATGTATATTTCAACCCCCTGCAACTGCTCAAGACAATGATTTCCATGGATGTTTTTCATCTTGGCATTCAGGTTCAGATCGTAGTTGGCAAGACTCTTCGTCGTCATCTACCATTTTTAAAAGCTTGAACCGTTTGTAGGTCATTTGACTTGAGACATCATTGCATACAACAGAATTGCAGCATGATACTCAAAAAATATTTTTAAAGTATTGTACACCTTGAAATGCAAAAGTAGCAATGTTACAATGGGACAGCAGGTTTCCTGTAAAACCTACATGTCATGATGGCCAGGTGGGCTGAAATGTGTAGTGTTTGAATAGTGGGAAAAGACTAATGCTTTTGAAGTTTAAATTTTAATACATTGACAAAGTTGTACAGGGTTGGTGAGAATTGCAAGTGCTGATGTAGATTGTACAGTGCAGCAGGTTGTGGCAGTATATTATGCATTCCTTTTTACAAGTTTACAGTTTTTACTGTTGATAATCTCATGATAAAATATTTACCTAGCTGTTTGGCTGCCAATGTTTCATGGTAATTAGTAGTAGTAAAATAAGCATTGAGCTCTACGTGTTCGCTCTCTGTACTACCAGAATGTTGACCATTGTTTCTGCCTTGCGCATCATAATGACAGATCTAACCATTACGGTCTACTTTCTTGGGAGTCCCTCCAGCATGTTGAAAATGCTGTGTGTTGTGTGCATATGTGCTATTTACTCTGTAAGAATTCTTCCTCTATGACTGCATTAGCAGGATTATTGAAATGTACACTAAGTATTTTAGAATTTGCAGTATCGGTTGAGCCTTCAAACTGTGTTGCAGACTTCTTACTGTTGAAGTGTTCTGTCTTCTGTGATATATTACAGTGTAGTGTGTTCTCTGTAGAGGAACATTCCAGAAGATAGATCTCTTAACCATTGCTGTGAGAACCTGAACTACTTACTGTATATCAGGATAGTAACTAACTGTTTATTCATTTTGTCTGACCTTGTAAAAATTTGATGACTGATATTTGAAAGTGGAATGGTATGCCCCGTAGCACACCACAGGCTTTTCTCACAGCGTTTGCCATGTCTACAGCAGAAAGCAAAATTAGTTTGCTGTATGTAATGCATCCTCAAAAATATGCATTGGATAATGCAGTTGGTTCCATCATGCTTTCAGTATGCTTATTTCTGTTGTAACAAGGGGTTTGACAGTTTCATAATAGCATTAGCTAAGTTCTTAACAAATTGCACATTGGTTTGTCTCCTGGATCAGTGCTAATGAACCAAATGTTGGAGAAGACATACTTTGTTTTTAGACCCTTGTCCTTTATGCCCATCTTTGCAGTTCATTCTTCCGATCTTTTTCATCTGAATCACTATTTAACGGTGATCAAGCAAGGTGAATGTTCAGGAGGAGTTTTGCTTTTGAAATATTTCTTGCTAGCAGCCTGTAGCAGTGTGAATAATATTTCAACTGAGCAGGTGTCAGATCACTTTTGGCGTAACTATAAACTCAGCCCCAACCTGGTGTTAACAGTGAATTTTCAGGTCTTACAACTAAGAAACTAAATAGAAACCCCATGGGTGACTCAGTAGCTATAAATGTATATAATGTGCAGAATGTTTTATGGGCCGATAAAAATAAATGGGTTACAGTAAGATAAAATCACGCGTGTGCCTGTGGATGGAGTTTGGATTGATAAATGGGTTCATTGACCACCTACACACCTGACTTGGAACTACAATCATTTGCAGTGCCATCGCATATCTCACAATTTTCCACAACACCCACTAATCCTTTTTCCAGCCTGCTGTCTTCACTAACCATTCCCCTTGTTTCCTCTAGCAGCGTGTGAAGACAACACCACATGCTGCTAGAGGGAACAACAAGCAAGGGGCATATTACCAATTGCAGACGTAGCAAAACAACAGACTAATGGAACAGAAAAACCAGCTGCTGAAACAAACTGTCTGGAATATCACATAGGTTTAAACAAGTGAACGACGCCCCTTATGAGGTCGAGTAGGATTTTACGAAAGATTTTGATAAAAGAGATTAATTAATTATGTTATTTTAAGTGGACTGCAACACACAATTTTAGCGCGCATCAAAGCAGTGTAACAGTTTGAATGCATTGAAACCCCTGAGGATGGCTGGCTGTGGCCGAAACATGTTGTGTTACGTGTTAAATGGTGAATATTTTAATGACCATTGCATCATTGACAGACTTGATACATAGACGTTTAATTAAGAAATGAAATTATTCATAAGTATCCAAATGAGCATACTTTTTGGTTGCAAGAAAAGAACTATGCATTTGCATTAAAATCCGGTCCCAAGTCATCACCCAGTAGATTCATAACATCAGCATAGACCAGCGGCTTGTGTGTCCCATTTAATTTCAGTCCCACTCGGTTTTCCTGGACCTTGCTAATGACATAATCTAAAGCAAAGTTGGAAAGAAATGCTGATAAAACATCCTTATTTAGACCATTCTGGATAGGAAAATTATCAGACAAATGTTCGCCTGTATGGACGCATTTTAATCAGCTTGATTAGTTTCATGGTTACCCAAAACTGTGAGAATATTGTACAATAATATAATAATAAACATGAAACTTTCAAATTTTGGTTGGAAACTAACTTTGACTTATTACATTGTGCAGGATTCATCTACAGATCTGTTCATTCCTTTGTTTTCAGTCTTGTTGCTGTCTGTTCTTAGGTGAAGGTGTGGGCTGCTTGTTTTCTCTCCAGTAAGAAAATAATCCAAGCCCAAACCCGAAAAATGTTTTTGTGATAGACCAATTTACTTACCTCAGACAACTGCTTAAATTCATGGCGTCCATCATTGATGTGCATTTCATTCCTAAGAAAGTTTTATCTTGGCGAGAAATTTAAAAATGGGCAATAAAATTAGTCTTGAAACAGTAGAATAGTTGAAGGTGGTGCACCACTGAGTCAGTGTCTAAGAACAAACACTTGGTGACATTGGTTTCTTGGGACTCTTTGATGACATAAGTTTTGACTTCAGTTTTAGTCTTATTCGGTAATCTCGCAGAGATTTTGATGTTAGCACTTTCTTTGGTTCATGTCTGATCCTGTCAGCAGCTGATGATTTGTGCCACTTTTTATCCAGTTACTGTTGTGGTTTGGTAAAAGTGAATCCAGATGCTGGTGACAGTTGCAATTAAAATTTTCATTTTTAGTGTAATTCTGAACATATGTTCAGGCCTGTATATTATAGTAGTTCCGCACGCAGTGAATACTCACAACGAACTGATGAGAAATTTTCAGCGATAGAAGGAAATGAACTATGTACTTATCAGGTCAACTGTGTTCAGTATCAAACTGTTATGTCATTGTATGGACCAGTGCTAGTTCTTTGAACAATTCTTAACAAAAGTGCCATGCTGTTCACTAAATCCCTCATGTAGTTTGATTTGATTTTTGCAGTACACTGATTTATGGTTTTCATCAATTTTACTATGGGATGATTGAGTATACAACCAGATGTAGGAAGAGAATTTAGTTGTACTTAAGGCCGCTTTCAGACAAGACACACGGTGGCTGGACACACACTGTCCAGCGACTGCAAATACATTAGCGTGAATACTAGCGTTCACACAAGCATCTCAGTGTCACACGTCTGAGACACTGTGGCTCAGCTGTGTCCTTCTCCTCCATTGGCCGAGACACTGACTTGTGGTCTGGCCACTCGAAGTGCATTGAGTTGTATGCTAGCGTTCAGACAAGACACACAGTGTCCAGCGTCATTGATGAAAATGGTGGACAAACATTTTGATACTGATAAATTTTTCGAGTTATTGCGAGCCAGACCTGTTATATGGGATATAAATAGTGATGATTATGCCAACATTTTAGACTGCTGTACAGCTCCGTGAATGATGTACTAGACATTCTGTAGTAATTAAAGAACTTCCTTTCATCACTGCAGATATCTTCATGGAGTGTGTAGAACGCTCCTTTTCAAAGCCTACTTTCAACAGGGTGAACCCACAATTTTCTCTTCTTGTTCCTCATCCTATATTTTTGTAGTATGTGCATAATTATAATGATTTCTTCTGTTTCAAGCAACAAACTAGTTAGGCATTCCCTCCATCTGAATGAGGGCAACATCAAGGTCGGGTTCTGACGTCAGAGCCACTAAGTATGCGTGTTGTGGCGCTGAGTGGCTGTGTCTCAGACACTAGTCGCCAGCCACCATGTGTCCTGTCTGAAAGCGGCCTAAGTGTCTAACAAGCTTAAATTTGATAGTGTCTGTGTTATGTTAAGTTGAAGGTAAAAAGTTTCCTGTGCTTGACACCATACTGTGAAGATGTATGATGGAGTTGAGGTATATGTCCGCATATTTTTGGCGGTGGATGGAAGTTTCACCTTCACACCCCAGTTGCTTAACCCTCTGGGCCAAGAGCCCCTAATGCTCGCTAGATATGAGGCTGGCTGTAGGCGGCAGATATTTTTTGTGTTGCATCAGGCATGAACTCCAGTACTTCTGTTACTTCGAGCTATATTATATGTATTGTGATTTTTTTATTAGTGGTTGAGTTTGGCATCTCATAGGCTTCTCCTACAATGTGGTTTGTTCCCTAATTTTTGTATGTCACACATTGTTTTCATAAAATTGAGGTTTGAGATTGAGGATAGGATTTTTAACTATGATATCTTATATTTGTTAGGTATTTTGTGGGAAGATTCCTAAGGACATGTATGAGGATGAATTGATCCCACTTTTCGAAAAGTGTGGCAGTATTTGGGATCTGCGTCTCATGATGGATCCAATGACTGGCCTTAACAGAGGTTATGCTTTTATTACGTTCACAACAAGAGATGCAGCTCAGTTTGCAGTGCAGGAGGTAAATATGCTGTGTTACTTCCAGTATTGGTTTGTTATTTTAATGCAGTGAAGCCTCTTTCACTGAAATTTACATACATAGTAGTGGTGACTGCAGTTTACATTTGCAATTACTGTTATTGGTTTCTGTGAAAGTGGTTTGCTGTCACCAGTGGAAAGTAATACATACAGACTCTGGTACCAAACTCACTTGTTTTGGGGTTCAAAAGGTTCTTACTAAAATTGTGGTTATGTGTATATCAATATTTGTTAGCCATGTCAGTTAATATCTTATTAAAATATTCATGTTGATTTTGGTCAAATCTCGTCTAGATTGAAAAAGCTTTTAGCTGCAGAGCTGAGTGAGTTTGAAGCCTGTTACCAACCAGAGCATTGTGCTTGTATGAACTTTGAATATAACCAGTTTGAGATGATGGTAAATGTGTTGTTTAGATTTGTTGCCTAAGGTGTAGGTTAATGATGCTTCCAGGTCTCCTCTTTGCTCTGTGGGCAAATCTGGAACTGGAGGGAGACTGTGTTAGTGTAGTTACGTGTTAGTGTTCAAAATTCAAACTCATTTGATGGCTCTGTCGCAGAAGCTGGCGGGATATACTGGCATTTGGCATATTTTTGAATGTATTGGAATGCGTGTTGTGTTAGTAGTGAAGTATTTGGTGGAGCTTTGTAGTTTTATTTGAAAACCATATTGTTTTGAAATTTAAAATTGTTAGGTTTAAGAAAATTTGTTCCAGGAGGAAGGACTGCAGGTTGCAAAATTGTGAAGCATCGAGCGAAGCAAGAAAAAGAGCATGCCTGTTTCAGTAGTTTGTTGGTACAAAATTGTCCTTTTGAAATCTGCTTTCCCCCCCAAAATTTGATTTTCATTTTATCTCTTGTTGATGTGGCTCACTCACCAAAATTTGGCATGTGTGTGTTTTTCTCTTCATCCCACAGCTCGATAATCACGAAATCAAACCTGGCAAGAGTCTGAAAGTTAACATTAGTGTTCCCAATCTGCGACTTTTTGTGGGCAACATTCCAAAGTCTAAAGGCAAAGAGGAGATTCTGGACGAGTTTGGTAAATTAACAGGTAATGTGTACTGAAGGAGAAAGTTATTTCAGTAGTGTAGATATCAGCAGCTGGCCGGAGGGTTGGATGGGGCTCACTCGCGGGCGCTGCCTTTCAGTTTGTTAGTTAGTTACCCCCAATATTCAGGAGCAACCTTTCCTAATTTGGTTTAGTCATGAGGTTCCTGCTGCTTGTGCTATTTCCTATATAAGTAATGCCCATTTATGTGAAAGAGATATTTATTCCGCTATCCTTCCGTAGCCTAAGGTTCCATCTATCTGAAACTAGGTCATTCCTGTGCTGATCCTAATTATTCATGGCTCAAGCTAACCAGGTAAGGTATAGTTCTGAATACAGTTGATAAGGGTAGCTTTCTAATGATCAGGTAGACAGGGCTATAAATGTCCTCCCATTCCCACCCTGACTGGCGTTATGCAGGCACACCACCCTTTAGGCAAGCTTAATTGGCTATCTTCCTTCCGCATTGTTCTTACAGCTGAATGATAATGAAATTCGAAAAGGCAAAAAGATTGGCGTTACCGTTTCTTATAACAATCACCGCTTATTTGTGGGAAATATACCCAAGAATCGAGATCGAGATGAATTGTTTGAAGAATTTTCCAAACATGCACGTAAGTTGAGACTCTCCCTTACGTCCATAATTGACTTTAATTTTTTGAGAGAAATTTTTGACCACATTTATCTCTGGAAAGAGAAGTATTGGATGGAGAAAAGTTCTTTTATTGAAAAGTTTGCTCTTAAAATTACTTGATTTTCATATTAATGGCAAACATATTCAGTGAAACAATTAAAAAGTCATCATCTCAGCATTTCTATAAAATTCAGCATGTGGGGTGGGAATGTTGGAATGGAGTAGGGAAAATCTATGAAAGTCCATTTGCAGTCCTCTGAGCTATGTATTTTTGTCTAGTGAGTAAATACCGTTTTGTATGTAAAGTCAGTCTTGCCTTAATATGAGTGAATAAATGTAAGAGGAAGGTTATATAATTTTTCTGCATTAATACTGTGTTCTGCTAACCATAGGATGCTGTTATGTTTTTTATGTTCATTCCATATCCCGAGGAAATGGACTTTGATTGCTCTTTCTCCATACTCCTAAGTTTGCTAAAATGAAAACTAGTGTAAGATTTATTATTTCTGTGAGGCTTCAGTATTTTAGTAGTGTGCTTGTTGTAGTCCTTACAGGTAATGTTGATTAATGTTTGGGCATACATTCTTCCCTTATCTAGCTGGCTTGACAGAAGTAATAATCTACAGTTCACCAGATGATAAAAAGAAGAATCGTGGTTTCTGTTTCCTTGAATATGAATCGCACAAAGCAGCATCTCTCGCAAAACGTCGACTTGGTACAGGTCGTATAAAAGTATGGGGATGTGACATTATTGTGGACTGGGCGGATCCACAGGAAGAGCCTGATGAGGCAACAATGTCAAAGGTACTGATTTATTTAATTCCATTCTTTGATATGAAGTCAAAAGTGTTATGTGTGAGTGGTAAAGGTTTATTGTAGCAGCAGTAGAAATATTGCAGTATACTTGGTAGAGACGTAAGATGAATCCTTGATTGAATAACACTGCAGTCAGCAACAGCACGTTTTGAATGTGGAAGTGGTGAGATAAGCGAAATTAGGAAGAGCAACTGAAGACTTAATATAATGGCATCAGATACAGATGTAAAATAACTTGGTAAGCACTGCCCAAGGAAAATATTTGCAATCAGAATGGTAGAAAATAAATATTTCAAAACAGTGAAAGTTCAGTTTATGGAGCTACAAAATGCAGTTAGTACATATGTGATCAAAGCATCTTCAAGGTAAGCATGCTTGAGGCAACTGAAACAGTTGACACTCTGAAGCCAGTATACTAGTCTGTCCAAAGAGTATCCGACCTTGGGCCGGGAAAAAAAAGTTCTGTATCTGGGTGGTTACAATATGTAATCGCCTTCAAAGTAGGCCCCTTGTGACTCCACACACTTAGCCCAGCCGTCTCGTTCTGTATGATGGCTTTGCGGCTGTCAAAACGGCAGCCTTTTAGCAGTGTCGTCAGTCTCAGGAACAGCCAGGAATCACAAGGAGCCATGTCAGGAGAGTAGGGAGCCTGGCGAACCTGCGGAATGCCGTCCTTGGCCAGGAAACCCTGGATCAGGTGTGGGGCGTTGTCATGATGCAGCTGCCAGTTGCATGCATCCCACAGCTCCGGTATCTTGCGCCGAACTGCATCACGAAGATGTTGGAGGACTTCTTGGTAGTACTCCTTATTGACAGTCTGGCCTAGTGGTGCGTACTCATGACGCACAGCACCCCGGTAATCGAAGAAAACAGTCAGTATCACCTTCACATTGCTCCGAACCTGTCGTGCTCTTTTGGGCCTCGGGGATGTTGGATGCTTCCATTGTGACGCCTAGACCCTGGTTTCCGGGTCGTATCCGTACACCCACGACTCGTCACCAGTGATCACAGTCTTTAGGAACTCAGGATCCCTGATGGCGCATTCCAGCATGTCCTACGCGACCTCAAGACGGAGTTGTTGCTGCTCCGGTGAAAGCAGCTTGGGCACAAAGTTTGCTGCCACTCTTCGCATGCCCAAATCCTCAGTTAAATTTGTGTTTGCGGAACCTCTGCTGATCCCAACCTCATTAGCAACTTCACGGATGGCCAAAGGATGGTTCTCCATGATCAGTGTCCGCACTTTCTCAATGACATCAGCATTGACGGTCTCCCAGAACGCTGCTCACTGTCTGCCGACATACGGCCATGCTTAAAGCACTTGAACCACCCTTTACTTTGAGTGACCCCCATTGCATCATTCCCGAAAGCCTGCTGAATTTTGCGAATTGTTTCCACTTGGGTATTCCCAAGTTTCTGACAAAACTTAATGCAGTATCGGTGCTCCAAGCATTTTGTCATCTTGAGCGAAACGAGAATGCAACGAACACGTGTTACACCACTTTGTTATCTGGCAGCCACAGAGGCATCCGGCAGTGTTGCGAGTCAGCAAAAAGTCACGCATGCCCATGAAAGTCCCTTCTACCACTACGCTCAGTTTCCCCACCCGTTTGGCAATTACTTACTGCGGAAAAAAATGAAGTCTGATACTTTTTGGACATACGGTATAAGAAAGTTTAGAAGCTGTTATAATTAGACATAAAACATGGCTTATATTGTTACAGAATGAAAGAATTTTATGTAATGAAAATAGCAGTGTGGATTTTATTGGAAAAAGCTCACGGTAGGTTTTACCTTTATAGTGAGGCTGTTTAGAAATGTTCTGAATTTGACAGTGACAATAGAATTTATAGATTTTGAACAATCATACTCAAGATTTGGTTAAGTCTAAAGAAGAATGGAAGCAAGAGACTAACATTGTATCTCATTCTTTCTTAGATTGTTCCAATGTAACGGTTACTTGTATTAAGTTTCTGTGACCAATTATTAGGCAATCCTGCTTTTCTTGTAACTTCCCCCCCCCCCTGGGTGGGTTGCCAGCCCATTGCAGAATCACCAACCTGCAGGACCAGAGTTTGATCATCAGGCCACCATAACTGACAGACAGGTTCTCTACCTTGTGCCCTGTAGTTCTGGGAGGGGCCCATTGCCAGGCCCTGATAGCTAGAGCAGCTGAGTCTGGAATTTGTAATGAGGTGCGGTTCCATGTTTTTCATCTGGGCTTGGGACTGATATTAGTGGAGTTACACAGCAGTCTAAAAAGTGTATTTTAAGTTGGTCTGTAACACTGAAACCTGGACTCTTTCAAAGAGAAACAAAGAACAGAATGCAAGCAGTGCTTTCTTTGGAATTAACGAGGAAATGCTCAAGGTGGTGGGGTGGAATTTTTATTGTTGAAATTCCATTGATTTTAGCTGTTCAGGCATGTAAAATGAATACATCGAACTATTTGTTATTGCGTTAGAAATTAAATTGAGAGAAAATGTCTGTGGATCAATTCTGATTGTGGAAGGCATAAAGATGATGAAAGTGGTGGCAGGAAAGAAAAGGGGAATGATGGATAATTTCGTTGATTGAAGTGAAGTGCTTCAAAAATGATTTGCAGGATTAAAGTTTGACAGATGCACTGCATGTTCTTAGCTACACACTCAGGGTAATTTTGTGTGAAGTTTTGTTTATGAGAAAAAATTCATGGCTGTTTCAACATTTGGAAGTGTGTATTTGATGAGATTGTGGCTTTCGTCTCATTTAAACTGGCATGGCAGCTGATATTACCTGTTATTGATTCTGAATCTTGATTATGTTATGTACTTATTTCTGCCACTGACCTTCCATTACAGAGAACAAATGACCGAATTTTACTTAATTTCTCAACATTTTGGACATTGCTACAGAAACTAATCCAGACAGGCTTTCTGTTTAGTGTTTTAAGAGCTGCTGAATGTACAGACACCACATACACCTTACTTAAATTTATAGTCTGATGCTAAGACTAAAATAAAATTGCTCTTGCTTTAAAGTTATCATGCTGCACGGTGACAAGTTTGCCACTTTGTTCACACTATGCAATGAAACGACCTACTGGACTGGCAAGATGTTTGGATAACATCCTGGGATTGACATTTCTAGTCTCAGGTTTGGAGGAGGCTTGGCCTTGGAGGTGTCATCCAATCCTGCTAATATCCCTACTATGACCAAATAACACAGGCTACCGTTCCAAACTTTTCGTTGAGGTTGCCTGTGTTTTTTTGGTACCATTTGTGGGCACTTCTGCCTCTCGGTTGAGTAAATTCTCTTCATGCATCCAGGGCCAGTGTAACTTTTAAGGAAGTTCATGACTGTAGTGTGCATCCTGTTGTGCCACGAACATATGGTTAGGTAAGGTGTCTGTTAGCACAACAAAAATGGGTTTTCAGTCAATCACTAATTTTCAGATTGAATTTTATTTCTTACCTCTACATGTTTCGGTCCTCATGGGGCAATCATCAGGCAGTAATATGTACTGCGAGTAAGGTTAATTGAACTCCCAGTATGGATCCATATTTTGGTGTAATGCGTCAGTATAAAAGTTATGCCTTATGTTATAATGTGAGAATTACATCATTATCAAAATATTAGAAATATTCAAGGAATTTGTATTTAAACGTAGGAGTGGTTTAATTCAGAGTTGTGTTGTATTAAATGTATTTTATGGATACTCTTACCTTGGGGCTGTTACTGTGCGTTAATATTATATGCAATTAATATATTGTCTTGGATATAAGTCGTATATCGTAATCGCAAATATGTGTGTGGGTTCCTTCTGTATGGGTGTTGTGCTCATTTTTGGGGGGGGGGTTCAGTGTGGGCTCATAAAATACATTTAATACAAACAACTTTAGCCGAAATAACTCCCACCTTTTGAGGAGCTTAAAACAGAGTGATTTCACGGCCTATCATGCAACATCAGAACTTAAACTGTATATGGGAAATTTTAACCTTGTATTTCATTATCGGGTCTGGTCAGGTGGGATTTGTGGTGGACATAGTGGCGTTGGGGCAGGTTTTCTCTGAGCTCCTCGGTTTCCCTGCCAATCTTCATTCCACCAATTGCTCCACAATCACCCTCACCTATCATCTTGGACTGGTACAATAGGCCAGAAGTGGCCAGAGTACAAGGGACTTAGTCCAACCCCACTAGAGAAAAAAAAGAAAATTTAATTATAGTTCTAGTTATTTTAATTCTGTGACATTCAATTCTTTATTTGTAATTCTAAAATTCTATATTCCTAATGTACAGTATATTTTAACATATTTAATCTCCTTCAATTTGATATTATCCACCAATATTTTTGAATACAAATTCCTTGTATGTTTCTGATATTATGATAATAGTCATATTGTAATTCTCACACAACTTAAGGAATAACTTCATAATATTGAAAGCACAATAGACCACTGTAGGTCACTTTGCAAGGGCGAGAAGGCCTACCCCTCATACATTCATTCATTTATAATATTGACACATCGCACCAAAATATGGATCCATATTGGGATTTTAGTTAACCTTAGTCGTATTATATAATACTGTGTGATGATGGTCCCAATAGGACCTAATCTTGTAGAGGTAAGAAATAAAATTCAATCTGAAAAATACCGATTGATCGAAAAACTATTTTTTGGTGTATTGACATACCTTACCTAACCATACCATCATAATGGTTTGTAATGTGCGTAGAGATATCACCACAATTAGAAATTTGGGATTTTCTGTGCAATGCTTATTTTGGATATATGATTTTGAACATGCCAATTTTTATGTTATAAGGAATAAGATTAACAGTAAGAATATTAAAGTAATTACTGCATGTGTTCACAACCTCATTATCTACTTTGTCTTACCATGATATTTCTGGAAATTTAGCATGTCCGTTTCTCTGTCCATAGGTGAAAGTGCTATATGTGAGGAACCTGACTCAAGACTGTTCAGAAGAAAAGCTAAAAGAATCATTTGAAGCTTTCGGGAAAGTAGAAAGGGTTAAGAAGATCAAGGACTATGCCTTTATTCACTTTGAAGATAGAGATAATGCAATGACGGTGTGTATATTAGTTTATAATAGTCACTGTACCTAGCAGTTTGAAATATCTCGTGTTCATTTGGTCTCGGAGGGAAGAGCTTTAAATATTGTCACATGTTGGGTATGCACACGACAAATATCTTCACGCCGTCTTGGATCTTAGCAAGTTTATTGCACATTTGCGCTTACACTTATACAATTCACACTTATGCCACTGACAGTATCACAATTACTTCCACTGCTCTTGGCGACTGCTAGACTTCAACTGCACTCGGCGACTTCACAATCCACACTGTGTCACTCCTGATCAAACATTCTGCTCACATACTGCTCAGCTGGCTTTTTATACTGTTCCTTGTTGCCTCGTGTTACCAGCGGTGTCCCCTTGTTACATCATGGCGGGAAGTGCTGTTGCATCACCGTGGGGGAAGGGGACAGTGTTTTGACTGGCCTGTTACCGTAGCAGAGGCAGTTGCTCCGATGTTGATACGTTACTGCTGGAGGTGGGGGGTGTGCTGTGTAGCTCAAATACTTCACAGTATTATGCATTCAGGAAACATTGGTTTTAGTTATGTCATCATCACTATCAATTTTAGAACAATTTGTTGCATTTTCAAAATGTCTCGGAAACAATTTAAACATATAAAATGTAGTAGTTAAGCAGTATATAAGGGCCGCCACATTGTAAATGAAGTTTGACTAAGTAAGATGTGTGGTTCTCACATCAGTGGTTGTGGAGAATGCTATCAAGTATATAATGCCATGTAATCCGTTGAAGGCAGCCTACATTTTGGAGAAACAGGTCTCCACTAACTTCACGGTTTAAGAATAAACAAAGCAAGAAACCAGTACAGAAGCACTGAGCTTGCATTTCACGTGCTTTACATAACATATTGTTATGACTTAGGGATTGTGACTATAAAAAAAGTAAAGTTGTTCCTGTACTTAACTAATTAAGCACTATGCTGTTAAGGTGTATGGGGAGTGAATGTACAGACCCACATTTTCTTGACCTCAGCACTAGTTTCATGTGAATGGTCAGGTTCTCACTCCGGCCACTTCACCCCTAGAGAAAGAATCCCTGGTGTCTGTTGGATACGAGGCTGGGTGAGCACCAGAGCCCGTCTGAATGACATGGAGAAGTGAAAATTCTTGGCCCTACCACGACTCGGACTGTGACCCCTAAGTTGTCTTGGTCATAGCCAGTCAGTATATGGATTGGTGAATGCATTTGTTGACCACTTACACATGCCACTTGGAACTACAAGTAATTACAGTGCTGCTGCTAATCTCCAGAGTTTGCAGGTCACCACAGCACCCAGTAAACCTTTTTCCAGCATGTTTTGTCTTCAACAGACCTTTTTCTAGCAGGTGCTGTCATCGAATTTCTTGTGAAAGAGGAAATCTCTGCTGCAGAAATTCACCAAAGACTTCAGCATGCTTATGAAGTGTGTGCATGGGTGCGAGCAGTGTTCGAAGGTGGGTGAAACATTTTAAAGATGGGAACACCAGCATCGAAGGCGAACCTTGGAGCGGTCGTCCTCGAACAGCCTCAACTGAACGCAACAAGGAAAGAGTGGATGAAATCATTGAAGATGACACACATGTGACTGTGGACACAGTAGCCCGAAAACTTGGAATAGGGCACAGTGCAGTACAGGAGATGATTGAAAGTTTGGGCTATAGGAAAGTTTGTGCTCGTTGGGTTCCGCGGTTATTGACTGAAGACCACAAAGGTCAGTGAGAAGGCATCACCTCAGAACTGTTGCAGAGATATCGGCACGAAGGCGATTTTTTGCTCTGTATTGTGACAGGTAACGAAAGCTGGTTTTACTATTTCGAGCCTGAAACAAAACTGCAGAGTATGGAATGGCACCATTTGTATTGTCCATCAAAAGAGAAGGCAAAGACAGTGCCATCAGCTGCGAAGGTGATGGGCACAGACTTCTGGGATGCAGAGGGGTTCATTCTGGCCGAATTCCTGGAACCTGGGCAAACTATCAATGCTACTTGTTATGTCCAGACGCTGCACAAGCTCCATCGTGCATTGCACAATAAACGTGCGGGACAAAACATCATCCTGCATGACAACGCTTGCCCCCACGCACAGACTTCTGGGATGCAGAGGGGTTCATTCTGGCCGAATTCCTGGAACCTGGGCAAACCATCAATGCTGCTTGTTATGTCCAGATGCTGCACAAGCTCCATCGTGCATTGCACGACAAACGTGCGTAACGAAACATATTCTGCATGACAACGCATGATCAGGATAGAGGATGGTACTCAGTATCGATCTAACATATTTACTTCATAAGATTTCCCCTCGGCAGAGGTAGGTTTGTATCATAACAAGCGCACCAGATGTTGAAGTAGAAAACTTTTTCAAAGAATCCAGATGTATTACAGGTCCTGCAGGAAGTTCAAAGTGGGACAATGAATATATGAAATGATAGCCTGAAATTTTCTCATTAATTTCATACCCAAAGAATTAATTTACATGAAAACTATTCAAAATAAGAGCTGAAACTTAGAGCTGCAGTATGCGTGCAGTGCACCGATCCTGGCAGCATGTGACAGACTGCTGGCATGTAGTGCACTGAGCCTGGAAGTGAAGGGTTAAGGAGTACGCAGTGTAACATGTAGACCGGTTGGTCAACAGCTGCAAAATAAGCAAATATACGAGTTGTTGCTGAGTAATGGCTTTGGAAACTGATGTGTCCCGTGGAAACAATTGAACTACAACAGTAAGGAGTGGTGTTTCCTGTTCAGTCTGTGCTTAGATATTACATGCAGGACAATTGTCTAGCTGCAGTTAGCCGGTGAAGAGAGGAGTAGAAGATTGGTGTGAGATTGCTGGCAACATTGGAGTTAGTGGGTTGAAACAGAAGGTCATTTGTGACATATTTGCCAGCTGGTAAGGATGTAAGCAGAGGACATTGTTAGGGTCTGTTACCAAAAAGCAACTAGCGAAGACAGAAGACTTTATGTGTGCCACAATTATAATGATCTTTAAGAGTTCTGTAAATCAGTAAGGCTGTTATACATAGTAAAAACTTGTAGTTACGAGTTGTGTATATAAGTTTTCAGTACAGTCATGAAATAACACCATTTATAGTCATTCTAACATGCATGTTTGAAGTATCTGCATTGAAATTTTAAAAAAACTCTGTTTCTGAATTTTAGTGTGTGGAAATTGTCAGAAGAGAATTGTTCAAATAAAATTGTATTGTGGTAATGGATTATAATGAATGGATATTTGACTGAAGAAAAGTTTTGAAAAATATATGAGGATGTTGGGAAAGTGTGCGGGTTGTAGGAGGGTATGACCATGCTGACATCCATTGATTCATGTGCAAGAATGGATATTCATACTTGGTATTTAAGTATAAGGGTTGAGTGTGTGTCCTGGTAAAGGCTGTATTGGACTTACTGTCTGAACCCTACTCTGGGTAGAATGTGGTGCCATGTCTTCAGATGAAAGCATGATGTGATTTGGTTTAACAGTGTTTTGTTTGGTCTAGCATGTATCCCTGCTAGTTTCACAGGGTGACAATTTTTTTAATGATACAAATACTCCTGAATATGATTTGTATCATGTCATGATGCGTCAACTGTACTACATGCTGAGAAGTTTCCAGTTGTTTGTTACTAGAAAATTAAAGCAGAAGTTTCATGGTTGTGTACTTTTTCGATGGTTATCTGAAGATATTACAGTCATGCTGGCATGATGCCTCAACATGGAGCTTTTACTTTGTATTTTTGTAGTTAGAGGTGTACCTAATATGCATAGCATATAATTTTGATGTAAATTTGTAAACATTCGAGATCGGTTACAATAATTTCATTAATATTCCATCAGGTTTTGATAAACCTAATGTGACTGATAGAATTAGTCCTTCGTGGGTTTTGTTGAAGTGTTGTGGGGTAGGCCTGTTCATTGAACTGGAACTGAGAGGAAAGTGAAGTAATGATGGAAAATAAAGATGCACACAGTGTCACACTGTGGCCATTAAATGCCTGCAGTTTGAAGTTCAGCATGCCTTTGCATTGAAATGCATGTTCTGAATTTTAATTTTGGATAGAAATATGTGATATATACATAAATATGCGTATGAGTGAACCAGGTGTATGTAGGGCACTGAAGTCATGAAGGCAGTTTGTGTTCATTGAAGGGAAGATGTTCATATATGTATATATAAGGAATTTGTATGTTTTGTAGGCTATGAGTGAGCTGAATGGTAAGGAGATGGGTGGTTCTGCAATTGAAGTTTCACTGGCAAAACCACCTTCTGACAAGAAAAAGAAAGAGGAAATACTTCGTGCTAGAGAAAGGAGGATGATGCAAATGATGCAAGTTAGAGGTGGATGTTCACCATCCCATCCAAGCATGTTACCAAGCTCAATGCCGATGAGGGGTCCTGGGGGACCAGGACCCAGAGGTTCAAGCGGGGGTGGATCTATGCGAGGGCCCATTGGTCGTGGTGACTATGGTAAGTTATTGTATGTCTTTTTTTTTTCTGTGTATGTGTACACAATGTACTCCTTGTGCATAAATTTGTAGTCAGTGATTTTTGTGTGTTAGGGCTTTTTAACTTGACAGTACAGATGCAAGAGCTTGTAACGCACTGAAGTTAAGCAAGAGAGCAGCCTTTCTCTTATACACAGTCTTTGTTGGTTGCCATTTTCCTGCTCGGTCATCTGTGGCAATAGAGATTGCAGCAACTCTGTAGAGTGCAGGTTGCTGAACTACTTGGAGTGTCAGCTTTAACATACCTCTCAGAATTTATATGCATAAAAATACAGGACCCATTACTATGTGTGTTCTGAAAAAAAAAAAACAGGCATTGCATAAAATAGTGCAGCTTCATAATATGTTTGACATCAGGAACTAACTGAAGGGTGCTGAACCATGACAGATTTTCATGAAATTTGATCTGGAGAATTGTACAAACTTATCATGCAATTTCGGTTTCCATATATATATAAAGTGGACTGTTTTGTATATAGGTCTCCGTGCATTTCTAGGCGTGATTCAAAAAATATTTAAGTAAAAACCTTTTGAATAAGAGATGTATGAATCATGTTACATTCAGTTCACTGTGGAACTTCCAAGGCAAACCCGTATCTGATGTAGGTGTTTTCTGTAATTTCAGTGAAATATCGTGGATTATGTATCTTTACCCTTCATTAGCACAGGTAGTGGGAGGTATACTGTGTTCAGAATTATTTGAAGTAAGGGTGATTGTGTTTAACATCCAGGAGTAGGGATCTTAACTCTTTGACTGGCGCGAAGGGTATTTAAATCCCACCCCTGTCTTGGCAGGCCCTTTAAACCTTATGTCGCTAAAATGCATGTAGTTACTTTTTCCTAAACAACTTCAACAAAAATTGGTTTTTAAAAACGAAATTTTCAGGAACTAATTAAAATACAATATTTTATGCAATAAATGCCTTTCCATACCTCTTTATTAGTTTTTTTTCGTGTGATAAACATTGAAACATGAAAGTTTGCAGAGAGCCACACCACAGCCTGCACACATGATACTTGTTTCTTTTCTAACCTTGTGCTTAGTACTCACGCGACACTTTCTCAGGGCACCATTCTTCTTATTTTTACTGTTAGGTACATGGACCATTTTGTGAATTTTCAAGCCACCCTCTAGACGATTTGCTGGCTCTTTCACTGGTGGTCTTTTCAAGGTCGAGGGCGGAGGCGTGACTGCACTCTAGTCTGACGCAATAGATTCTTCATCCACTTCATTCCTTGACTTTTCTCCCTCTCCACCCTCTTTGTTTGGTTCAGTCATTTTTCTACACAGTCCAATATAAAATCTTTGAATCTGTAATTTCTCTTCTTGTATTTTTCGTTTGTTGTGTTCTTTTTGAATAGAATGAAACTATTCAACCGCAAAGACATGTTTTGTCCATACCATGGGTGTGAAATAGGGGCCTAGTGGACAAATATTCTTCAATTTCAGGGCGTTTGTCGATTCCTGTCATGAACACAATTCCTAAGTATGTCCAGATTTCATCTGATGTGACATAATTGTAATTGTGTTTTCGAGAGTGAGGAGCTAACTCATGTGTGTTGAAGTGCTGGTGAGCATAGCGATTGGTTTCAGTTGTGATGTGATTTACAAAGTCGTCATCCAGAAAAAAANACAACATTTTCCAGCTGGTCTGTAGGAACACGAAGACACTTGCTGCAAGAAGCCATGGTGAAACTGAATGAATGTGAAATATTTTCTGACCTTTTCCTTCTCAGAGGGTTCTGACAGTAATATAGACCCCCACAAAGTTTACAAGGGTTCTTTACAAACATGCACAAAAACTATCATATATATGTCTTTGGTTGATGAGTGCCAAGAGAGCAAAGAAGGGAAGAGATTGTCAAAGCGTTAAAACACGCCAACGCCAGGGAACGGCTGGCATCGTCCGGGCGTTAAAACACGCCCGCTCCAGTCAAAGAGTTAACACTGCGGACTGGCAATTTAAATATTTAAATTTCCCTGGGGACCGGCATTTTTAAACCCACAGTAAAACCTGTCTTAAATGGAATCTCAAGGGATCAGAAAAAATTTCTGCTGAAACCAGGTTTCCGTTTAATCAAGGTATACTATAATAACTAAACCAGGATATAAACGTATTTGAGACAAAACAAAACAAAACAAAACATGCGAACGTTACACCGAACAGGAAAAAATTGCAGTACTCACTTTTTATAATTTTACCAGAACTCCGGCAGAGTTTTTTTTGCACGCAATTTACTCTCTTGGCTGCCTGACTTTCCACAAACACTTCAGCTTGAGAAATTAGAGTAAGCATGTTTGAATCATTCCGTTGCACGGCAAACTTCTGCAGTACCTTTAACCGTTAACAGCTGAATGTCACATATACACGCCACAAGCAGTAACTGGAGTTGGCCAAATGACCTGTGTACACGTCGCAGGATACATGCTCTCTTTGGGAGTGCTGGCAGTTTGACCTTGGGTTGGAAACCAAAACAAACCTACGTGAGGTCAAGTCGGTGGTTCATTCCTTAGCTCTGAACAAAAATTATTTATCAGGGTACTGGTTTCGATACTATTTACGTTTAGATATGACTGTTTATGACCTGCTCAGCCAAATATAGCTCAGCTTTGTTTCGAGAACTGATGAGGAAATATTTATCGGTGCTTGCAGATGAGTGCTTCCAGAGCCTTCAAGGAAGTGTGACACATTCAAGGATTGGTTTTCAGTGANAGGGGCGTATTATCAGTCAAGAAGTTAGTGTCGGATTGTCTAATATTTCTTTATCAGTTAGAAAGTCAGTGTCAGACTCATATATTTCTTTATATATCATTTTTATTTTGCGTCTTGGAAGAGGTATAAACCCACTGAGCCAGTATTACTTTGTGAGTAAAGGCATCTTCGCTACTGCGACTTTTAGTATGTGTCGGACTGGCACTTTTTTCGACTAGTATTATACTTACTTTGCATCACTATTTTGCGAATATTACCAACAGATGAGAGTGTCGCTTTGTCAATCAACATAATTTATTCGATTTTGCTAGAAAGCCCCCTACCCCAAGACGATTCTTCAGTCGCACAACCCGAATATCACGGTCAGTGGCGTTTCTTGGGGGAGGGCCAAATTTATCCGGGGGCCCAACTGAGTCGACTGGAGGTGAAACATTCACAACACTGGCCAACCAAAGGGAAACTAAGACGTATTTGTTCTCAGAATAAGAAGCGCAGAACTATGTAAAGTGTCATGTTGCGCTGTGTGGGTTCAGCTGCTTCGACAAGTAGTACACGTGCATCGAGTGTGAGTTATCGTAAACTGTGAAGTGACGCAGTTCAAACTCTCATACAGTCTGAACAAAATATTATTGTACAAGTATATAATGTGATTATATTTACAATATCATCATGATTCTAGGTTGAAGAATAAACAACGGGTAAGTCCTTTGGAATTTCATGACATATATAATAAAGATTATATTTCGCAATTCATGACAAAATAATCGCAGTTAATTTTCATTTGTAAAAATTGCTCTTCTGTGTACATGTAGAAAAATTTATTGTCTTTCAGGTTGTTTTTAGTTTTTATTTCTATGTTGCATAGAACGGAAAATATGGATTTTTTTCTGACATTTCTATGTTGCATAGAACGGAAAATATGAATTTTTTTCTGACGGTTTGCAAATTTAATTAATCAGTGATTTAAATACTGGCCGCAGGGGGCTCCCAGCAATTTAAAAGTCCGTACGTTAAAGGTTAAACTGTTTGCAGCATCCTGATAAGTCTTCACTCTACTTTTCTTCTTCTATCACAGTGTCATTTTCCTCTTCCTTATCTGTTCCTTTTCGATTTTCTCTAAAATTCTCAACTAATACATCGATATCCATTGTGTCTGGTTCTGTTTGCACATCTATGTTGATGTAGTCCTCAGCATTGCAGTTACTGAAAGCAGCTTCATTCATACAATGTTGTAAGTCCTTCTGGTCATTCTCATTTTCTACACTTGGAGTAACTTCTACCGTAGAAAATCCTGCTTTTTCGAAACACTTTGTCACAGTTTCTGGTAACAACTTCTAACTGCTTGACTTATACAAATAACCACATCTAGAACCAAGACAGTTCTTGCAAGTTCAGAGGCGGATGATGTAGAATCTATATTGACGAGCAAAGATTGCATTAATAATTTATGATAGTGTACCTTAACATTCCGAATGATGCCCTGATCCATTGGTTGAGAAACACTAGTGTTTGGAGGGAACCAAGCAAGTCACACGTTAGAAAGTTCAATACGGGGGTGACATGTTGCGTTATCCAAGAGCAACAAGACATTCCGGTTTTGCATTTTCATTCTACCATTGAAGGCCGTTAACCATTTCTCCATGATCTGTGACGTCATCCATGCCTTTTTGTTGGATCTCCACTCAACGGGAAGTTTCTGTATGTCCATGTTTCGGAAGCATCGTGGCTTTGCTGCCTTACCAATCACTAAGGTTTTCTCCATTTCACCTGACATAAAACCACATAGAAAAACAGTCGATCTTTCTTTGCACAGTTTTCCTCCCAAACATTTCTCACCTTTCAGACATAGTGATTTATTCGGAAGCGCACGGAAGAACAGTCCAGTCTCATCACCATTCGCTATGTTTTCAGGTTCATATCCCTTAATTATGGATGGCAATTTAGCTTCCCATTCCTCAATGGTCTCACTATTTACATCACTTGATTCACCACAAAGTTCATTAAAAACTATTCAATGTCTTTTGTGAAAACTCTCCAACCATCCGTTAGATGCTTTGAATTCAGTCTTCCCCAGTTTTTCAGCGACTTTTTTAGCATATTCCTGTACCATAGGACCCGACAACCGGTGATTTTTTGCCCTCACACTGACAAACCACTCGCACACTATTTCATTAACGTCTTCGTTTGCAGTTTTCTTAAGTTCTCTTTTTATTTTTCCATTAGCACAAGTTTCCCACTGCTTCAAAAT